AGCCTTGGCTACACAAGACCACTGGGGGGGATGGGAACTCTCAAGGCCCTTACTTTTCCCTTAACCATTTGCTCCATGTTGGATGTCAGATCATCCACTTCCATTTTCAGCTCGCTTTTCTCCTTTTCCAGTTTCTGCTTGACACGCTGCAGGTTGTCCAGCTGCTCCCCCATCTCAGCCACACTGTCTGCATGCTTCTTCCTCAGAGCAGCAGCTGTGGCTTCATAGTGCAGTGTGGCCTCCTCAAGGTCACGCCGCAGCTTCAAGAATTCAGCTTCACGTTTCTTGTTCATCTCCAGCTGGGCAGCAGTGGCACCCCCAGCCTCTTCAAGCCGTTCACTTAATTCCTCCAGCTCTCGGGCCAAATCTGATCTCTGCTTTTCCACCTTAGCTCGAGCAGCTCTTTCTGCTTCCAGCTCCTCTTCTAACTCTTCTATACGAGCCTAACAAAGAGAAAGGAGAACCTTGGGGTCACCTTCAGATGATTCCCACCAGAAAACCTTGAAGCATGTTACAGTGAAATTCTCTGCCAATCCAACACTCTAAAACAGAGGAGGAAACACAGCAGTTAGAGAATTTGCCCATTGTATCAATAAATCAGATATTGAGCCACAGGGCAAGACATCTTTCTCATAGTAAATAGCTCTATGAGTTCTACAATTTTCCCCACAAGCTTTAGTTCAAGACAGTCAGGTAAAGTACATCAACTTGTATTCTGTCAGGTACTTTACATATAGGTCAAGTATGGGAGAGAAGTTATTTCTTAGTAGGTGTAGCAGCTGATTGCCATTGAGGGGAACTGTAAGAGTTCTCTTTGCTTCCAGTCTAAGAGCTATGTGACAGAAATAACTTCTCTCTAGGAGTTTTAAGACTGATGACTTTAAATAAAGCAGTGTCTAGAATTTAATGAGTAATGACTATTCATTGGGAGGCCTTTATTTTTATTTAATGAAGCAGTTATTTTGGTGAACATATGCTTCATATTCAAGTTACTCAAATGTTCTTTATTTATAGAAAAATCAGAGTTGATATTTTGTTTGGACTGTGCTGGCTGACTTTGGCCTTTTAATTTCTGTTGAAAATTTCATGTGCATTTGAGCTCCTACCCTAAATTTCAAATCAATTCCTATTAATTGCTGAACTCCTCCCTGGCAACCACAGCCATCCTCAGCTCCATGGTTCCAAGATTAAACGAAAACAATGAAGCCTTTCTGCCTTTCCTGATACTAATAGCATTCTGCAGTCATACATCTTGGGGAATCAGTTCCTTGAGGGAAAAGGGATTGGGGTTGCACTGCTTTGGGTCTCAAATCTGAGTGGCAGCTAGCTGTGAAAATCTCTGCAAAGCCCTTCAGTAAGACAGATAATCATATGGTGGCTTGGATTGGAAGGAACAGAAAAGACCATCCAGTTCCAACCTCTCTAATGGACAGATACGCCTTCCCTAGAAAAGGCTGCCCAAAGACATATCCAGCCTTGGGAATCTCATCCTAAAAGAAATGAGAAAGAAGCAAGCTAACCTGAAGTTCCTTAATCTTCTTCTGCAGCTGCATTACAATAGCTTGTTCATCTTCTATCTTGGAATTCAGTTGGCTCATTTCAAATTCTTTCCTGCCAAGGAAAGGAAAATCCCACTGTGACAGTTTTCTCCACAGTTCAAAACTAGGCTCGTGCGATTTTCAAAGAGCTGTTCAACAAAACTCCTAATGTATCTAAAAATGAAAACAATCCTTGTGTATCACCATATGGAAGAAAATACATAACTGTCTTAGCAGTCATTTCCAAGTCAAGACTTCAAATATTTGTGCAATTACATTTTTTGTTCCTTATGTCATACAGAGCAATGCTATTTTCACATTCAAAGGAAAAATATGCTTTTAGTTAGGTCTTTCAACAATATTCTTATAGTTAGGAGGAATGACTTCTTAGAAGATTCCTTTTTCTGCTAAGCAATAAAAACAAACTATATGTATATATTTAATGCTGATAAGTCTAATCAATTCTAATGTTTCAGGTATACTGAAAACAAGTAACAGTGATTTTCCTCCCCATCACTCTCTCATCTGTGATGAAATTTCCTTTAAGCCACCACCAGGCCACAATGACACACCTGAATACATCAGGCAGTGGTAACTGTGCTGCTTCACTTAGTATAACAAAAAAAAATTTCTTACTTTTTCAGCTTTTCCTCCATTTGCAACTTGTCATTCTCCAAGTCCATGACACTCTCTTGGGTCAGCTTCAAATCTCCTTCCAGTTTGCGTTTTGCCCTCTCTAGATCCATCCTCACTTTCTTCTCTTGTTCAAGCGAGCCCTCAAGCTTTAGGTACAAAGTCATTCATTAAATATATTCAACACAGATTGCTTATAACAGTCAGCTGCATACTAAGCCTATCTTCATGCTAAGCCCTAGCAAGTGTTGCAGTGCATAAGTGTAGGCATACAATCTTGTGCAGCCAATAGACATACGAACTAAAGAAATATAAGGACTAGTCCCTGCTTTACGTCTGAGTAAGCACTGCAGTTCTCTTTGTAGCAAAGTTCTGCTTCCATGTCAAGTTACACTGCAAATGCAAACGTAGTAGATTTTCCCTTTTTTATTACATTCCTTTCAGAGACTTGAGCATGAAAATAAGATTCACGTTGTTGCTGTCATTTTATTTTTTGCAGACAATTCAACAAGAGCTGCATTTATAAATACGTGATTGATTCTGAAAGAACAAAGCTTTATGACATTTCAGACTCATGAAAACTGTTAGTGTTGGGCAAACAAGCATGCAGAAAAATGAAGTCCAAGCCAGCTTACATCATCCACTTGCTGTTCCAGTTTCACTTTAGCTTTGCTCAGTGTGTTGACCTTGTCTTCCTCTGCTTGAAGGTCATCCAATACTTGCTGATGAGCTTCCTGCAAGGACTTCTTCTCCTTAGTAAGTTTGCTGATGTTCTCATCAAGAGTCGCCATTTCTTCTGTCAGATTTTTCACCTATGTGGAGGATGAAGGAGGTGTATTTGTAGGATTCTGAAGAAAGGGATTATCATAACTTGGTTCAAATGAATGTTCTTAGTGAATTTGTATGGAAGAAGACATTGAAAAGAAAGGGATGTCTTTCCCTTCACCCCTTTGTGGCAATTTCTGTGAAACTGTCAGCAAGAGAGCCAGTATGTGCCAGTCCTTGTTGCAGACTTTTATATCAAAAGCATTGATATTTTTTTTTTACTTTTTTTTTCCCCAGTGCTACTCTTTCTGTGGTGTATTATAGCTCTTGATCTCTCTGGGAAAAATAAGAGGTCCCCAGAAAAATTGCTGGAAGAACTCAAGGTTACAGCAGAAAATTGTTTACTTAAGAATGCCAAACCTGGACATAATTCTTTAGAAGAGTTGCAGCAAACTCATTTCAGAAAAAGAGAAACTCAGACTAACTGATTTTCCCTCGTAAGTTCGAATGACTCTGTGTGTACTGATCCTTCGGTGTGGCCTATGTAACAGAGTATAAAGCTGTCAAGAAGACCAGTAGATCTTGTCCATAAAGATAATCCTTGCCTGACCTCTTTTGAATATATGGCAAAGTTCAATAGGTACCTTATTTTCAGTGGCATGCTTCTCTTTCTCTACTTTTGCAAGTGTTATTTCAAGATCATCAATATCTTTCTTGAGCTCAGAGCACTCATCTTCCAATTTTCTCTTTTTAGATGTCAGCTCAGAATTCATCTCTTCCTCATCCTCAACTCGCTCTGTCAGCTCTTTGACTTTGGCCTCCAGCTGAATCTTGGATTTAATCAACAAGTCACATCGCTCCTCAGCATCTGCCAGAGTGTCTTGTTCCTGGGGTGGCAAAAGAAAGAGATCAAGTAGTCACTGCCTCATCTCTCACCTATCCTGTAAAGCAGTCACAGGGCTTGATCCAATCAAAGCTAGGGAAAATTCTTTATTCCTGACTTCAGAAAACAAGACCAACAATTAATTAACAGAGCAGGACAATAGAGTGCTGAGAATGACTAGTCATGTATGCCTCTCTAATTATGCTTTTGTGTACAGCAGAAATTGCTTTGGACAGAACTCTGGTAAGACTTGCATTGTTAGTCCACCTAGTTTCATGCTAGAGCATGACAATTTCTATCTGCTCTACTTTTTGGCAAGACTGACAAGGCCAACAGCTTATTTTAGTTGAACAGAAATAATATCATGGTCTGTAAGCCTTTGATCTTGAAAGTACATCTAATGAATACATAAGTAGACGTCTACTCACAGCTTGGAGCTGCAGTAGCAAATCATTTTTTTCCTGAACTAAAGAGACTTGTTTCTCTTCAAGTTCCTTTCTCCTTGCTTCAGATTTTTCCAGGGCCTCCTTCAGCTTCAAGAACTCTTCCTTCATATTGGCCATCTCTTTTTCAGTTTCTGCAGACTTCAGAAGAGGTTTGATCTTAAAGTAAAGCTTCATCCAGGGCCAATTCTTCACAGCCATAAAGGCACGGATATTCCACTGAATTACAAGAAGGGCATCCCTGTTTAAGGAAGAAAGCAAAATCCCCTAATGCTTAGCATGAATTTAGAAAATGAGATACCATTTTTTTTTTTTCTTTTTCTTTTTTTTTTTTTTCATTCTCAGTCAGTTTTACACCTCTGCTCCCTGGTTATATTGGGAACTTGTTCTAGGTTCCCACATATGCAGGAAATGTTTTCTGTAGCTCTTAATTTTCAGGGACATGAAAAATTTCCAAATCCCATTTTCAGGTAACCAAGAAACAGTTGCTATTAGTTTTATCAGACATGAATGTTAAACCTTTAATTTAGGATTAGTTAGAGCCTTGGTGACAGTAATAATGGCTCTCCTCAAGATATAATTAAATGCTAATGACTATTATCCGCTAAGATTGAAGAGGGTGACTTCATACCTGCGCTCCACTATCTTCTGGAACTCAATCCTCATCAGTCTGCCACGTGCCCTTGCTTGGATCATCGTTAGGATCTTTGCAAGTCTCTCATCCCTCATTTCTTCTAGGTGACCCAACAGACCAGCCTTGAAGAACACCTGGTACATGCACAGATGCCATTTGATGACAATGACTAGTTTTCTTCCAAAGTATACAAGCAGTTAGCTATACACACATTGTTGTAATTGTTCAGAATAATGGTAGTTCTGTTGGCACATTTATTAAGAAATAAGATGATACTTGCATTAATAAGAAATAAGGTACTTTCATTAGGGACTGCACTGTTCCACTGTTTCTTTAGAATCAAATCTCATGTTCCTAGTTTTGAATAAGTGAAACTGTTTTATTGACATTCTCCAAAGTACATTTCAGCTGTGACAGGGTTCAGTGCAGGTCGGCTAAACCACTGTCAGGTCCCTACTAATGGGATCATGTCACACAGCTTCGTTAAAAAAGCTGCAGCTGACCTCATGGTGCAAATGAGCTAGTATTTTACTGGGGAGCATGGAATATCAGCTGCTCTTGTGTTTGTTTGTACTGTTGCTGTAATACAAGCTTTTTGGGAGCTTAAGCTAGAGAAATAACTTTCCTCTAGCACAGTTTAAAATTAATTTTGGTTTTCTGCTATACTGCTAGTTCCTATATTATCAACTCCTCATTAACTGACACAACCAGAGGTTGCATAGAGTCCTATTCTGCGGATTAGATCCCTTGCCTTTCTCTTTACACATTCATTAATCATCTTTCTCTGGTTACCTTAGTATGCCCGAAACGATATTGGTTATGGTCAATATCTAAAGATGCCAGTAGTTTTTCGGCAGCTTTCCTGCTATCCACAAACTTATCCTCTGGGATTGCACCTGGATTCAGAATGCGGTACCTGTTAACAACAGAGGAGCAATAAATGAAACTAGCATAGTGGCCTGGACTAATTTCCTACTTTGCATCTACACAACCGCAAGAGCAGAGTTCTGCCTTCCACATTCAGACCAAGAGAATGGAAAATAAACTGGAATGGAATAAAACATTTCCAATTAAAAATGAGAAGGCATGCTTTGCTTATTTTGTCTGTTGGGACAGGACGGGAGACAACACAGCTCTGCATTACCTTTGTTTAAAGTCAGCATAAAGCACCCTGTTTGGGAAACCCTTACGGCAAATGCGAATGCCTTCCAGGACGCCATTACAGCGGAGCTGATGCAAGACAAGAAAAGCATCCATTGCACCTACAGGGGAGAAACAAAGCTAAACTCTTCCATAGGGCTTAATCTTCATTTCACCAAGGGAACTAAAAAAAGTGAGGTGCCATCTCACAAAAGGGCAACATCATGGGATTAGGTGAACCACATACATAGACAATATTCAAATTCATTCCAGGGGGCTTGCAAGTAAATACTGGAATTACGTTGTTCAAATATTCTGAGGTTTTAAGACAGCTGTGTTTTCCATACCTGGTGTTTTTGATTCGTTGGGAATAATGCATCGTACGAAGTGAGGGGCTGTAGATTTTAGGTTAGTCATTAGTTTATTTAAATTTTCCTGGAACAGACATACAAAAAACACATTGAGCTTTAATGGTTTTGTTGAATTTTCATCACTTATTTCTTTGGTTTCTTGGTTAAGCTTATTAAAGTCATTTCTCTAAGTAGTCCTCAATAAGATTATGAGCTTAAAAAGTCATTAAAAATAAATGATTTCAAATAAATCAAAGCATAAATTAACTTTATTGTACAAGTCAACATTTGTTTTAGGAAAATCTTAAGAAGATGTATTTTACTTACAGACCCAAAAGTGTCACAAACCGTGTGTAGTGCCAGCAAGATGCAGTATCATGCCACAGAACATTCCTGTAAAACTAGTGTTTTGCATTTCTTCTTCTTACACTAACTACAGGACATATTCTTCAGGTAATGGTACATGAATAAAAGAAGACCTTCAATAAGCTGTGCTGTGTTTATGACAACTTAATTAACACATCACTGATGTTAAACTCTGTTTTGTCATAAAAGATTATGGTGACATTAAGCATCAGCACTCTCTCTTCACACTTCTGTGCCCAGTGACAGTTTTCATCCCATCTTGCTTATGTAGTGACTTCACACCATTTTGCATGAGTATCACATTTCTTTCACCTAATAAGACTGACCTGAACTGCATTTTTGCCTTATCACTTCAAATTTCCCATCTGTTCCTCATAAAAATTAAGCTCTTGTCTTCCTGGACAAATATTTTTCCTTTATTAATCTCAACCTGATACCTCCCAGGCAGGCAAGTGATCCCAAGCTCTGGGGAAAGTGTTTTTTCCAGCATGGGAAAAATAGAGAAGATTAGAAGTGATATATTTTATTATCATCATGCAGACTGTTAAAACTGAAGATTTCTCCTACGCTGGTCAGGATGACAAAGGAGACAAAGTGAACTGGGTACTTAGCAGCTCCTTGTGTCCTCTATTAGTGGATTATTAGATTGCCACCTGTGAACAATCTGTCAGCTATCTTTACAGTTCTTCATCTGGCAAGATATGGGTCTCAATTTTCTGTGATTTCACTTCATGGAAAGTAACTACTAATGAAATGAAATGATATGACCTACCCACATTTTTTTTCCACCATTACTCTTATGGTGGATCCCATTCGAAGCAGTAACAAAGTAGGAATAAGCAAATGACTTGTAATCAGTTCAGGTCCAAAGACATGCACACAGTAGGTCACACAGATAAACGTCCAGACAGGTCTAGAATGTCTCCTTAGAAGGAGACTCACAACCTCCTCATGCAGCCTGTGCCACAGCTCCATCACCCTTACCAGAAAGAAGTTCTTACTTATTTTAGTATGGAACTTCCTATGTTCAAGTTTTTTGCCATTACTCCAGTCCTTTCACTACACACCGCTGAGAAGAGTCTGGCCTCATCCATTTGCCTTCCACCTCCCTTTAGATATTTTTATCAGATGCCCTCTCAGTCTTTATTTCCCCAGGCTGTACAGACTCAAGTTACTCAGCCTTTCTTCATATGGGAGATGCTTCAGGCCCTTAGTAATCATAAGCCAGTAACTCAAGCTCAGAATCAAATTCTGATATTGGATTTCAGTCTCTTTTGTCCATTACAATCCTTAATATCCTTTTTCAAAAGTACTGTCTCAACTCTAACCATTAGGTGGAGTGAGGTCAACAAACCTTGTGTAATGAGGACACCGTTTGAAAAGAAGCACCTTTCTTGCGTTTCTTTTCTCCACCCTGGTCAGCTAAGAAAAAAAAGAAGAGTGAAAAATCACAATCAGTATCTCAGTAAGGGGTGCAGATGGGGGCACGGGAGACAGACAATCCTAGTAGCACAATTTCCTTCGAATGAAAGGCACACTTAACAGCTTGATGGCTACATGAGTTCAAGTAGTATACAAAAGCTTCTGAACATCAAGTGTTACGTATCACAAGATAGCAGCTCTCTGTCCATAATCAGGAGTTTTGTTAAAGATTGCTACAAGCTTTCTGGATTCCATTTTCATTCCAGTTCTGGACATCATCACTTGTTATGCAGAAAGATCATAAATACGAATAAGGCAGAAAAATAATAATGCTAACAACACAGAGTGGCTTGTAGTTGGATGACTATCTTGGATGAAATGATACAGAATGCAAAAAAGTAATGCTTAGTGAGAATTTGTACTGTCTGCTACATCTGCTACATCTGCAGACACTGTCTGCTAATGAGACACTGAACTCCTGCAAGTAATGTTTGCCCAGACAGAAACAAATAGAGGGAAATAAATATTTATTTTATAATTTTAGATACAGAAGCTTTGCATTGCCTGAATTTTGCTTAAAGCTTCAGAGTCAAAATCACTCTGGTCCTCCAAAAGAATGCTAATTTTTGACATGACCTTTATGAAGTTGTACAACACAAGAGGCAAGCATGACCCAAAAATGTACAGCAATTGCTGCAGCTTTCTAAATACTGGGCCATTAGATCATTCCCAGGAGGTCTGGCATTCTGTCACTTGTCAACAGCAGTCAACATTAAAGGAGAGGTGAAGAGTGCAATGTGTTTGATGCAATTATCAAAATCCTCTCCCCCTTTTGAAAGTGACACTGCCAAGATTGGAAAAGACTAATCTAGGCTGGCTGGTCTTTTCTCCTGATACCAAATAAAAGCAAGGTAGTGTTCTGACAGACAGGAATATCCACAGGCAAATAGGGCATTCATAACTTACAAGAATTTGCTACTGGCATGATTTTTGTTATTTATATTCAACTCCATCTCCTCTCCATATTATGAAGTTTGCAGTCTGCTTGCTTCCTCAGCAAGTGTTTTATGATTCATGACAACAACATCTATAGAGATGAGGTTACTAATAAATAGGCTGTAAGTGATTGCAACTTCAGGACATAAGAGCCTGAATCTTTGTAATGCATGCCAGTCTTATTTACTTAACATCAATTTTCTGGATGCTTGCTACTTGTCTTCTCTCCATCAAAACAGTTCTGTATAATGCATATAGCTTAAATACATCCTCAGACAAACACCAATCTTGTAAAAAAAAAAAAAATCCACAACAACAACAGCAACCCAAAAGGAAGATGCATTTGTAAAATGTTCTGCTGCTTTGGCCAAGGTAGTTGGTCACTTTCTTACCACTAATCCAACAAAATATTTCAAATTTTTCTCTAAAAATTTGCTCTTATTATTTAATTCAGGATGGCTAGCAAAGAATACTACAGTGTGGGAAACAAGAGCTGTTTTTGTGCATAGGTATTTATGCACAGAATGTTTTGTGCAACACTTGCCTCCATATCTGAACATCTGCATGCCCAAACACCTACTGGAATGTTCACAACACAGATTTCCTTGCCAAAATTGCTCAGAGGTATTGAGCATTTAAACTAATTGAGTTAGTGTCTTACTTAGGATAGCACGGCAGACTCTTACAGACGCTGTGAACATCTAAATAACTGATCACTGCCTCATTTAGCATTGACTCAATTGCAGCTTATACAATTGTTTTGTTTCTTAAATATATTTCCAAGCACACATTCCAGAAATGAAAGAAGATCCACGTGAGTCAATTCTGCTTACCACTGTCAGCACCAATGTAGCTTTCAAACAGGCTTGCCAGGAGCTTGTTGGACGACTTTTGGAAGATACCTACTACAGTTTCATTAAGCGGGTCTTTGTTTTTCTCAAGCCACCCAATGATGTTATAGGGAACCTACAGCAAGGTATTGAAAATGCAAATAAAAGGTTACAAATGCTTTCCCCTTCAGAGTAGCTCTTTATGACTTGGCTTGAAGCCAGCGACATTCTGTGAAGCTTGAAGCCAATGACATTCTGACTGCGCTCAGAGCTGGAACAGTCACTCAGTTTTTCACCACTTTCCATCCAGTTCTTTGCTTTCTAATTGCTGAATATCTCTTCCTAATAACTGACATCTGAATCCTTCACATCCCTTCCAAACTTTCTGGACCCTGCATGTCCTTGTGAACTCCACATGGCTGGCTGTAAACATATAACATGTCATCAGCGTTCTAGGAGCCCTACCCACAGCAGCTGAACTACAAAACACACAAGTAATAATTTCACTTTACAACAGAATACTACACTGGAATAATTAAGATTGTTTAAACGGAAATATTTTGATTAAAATTCTAACTCCTGCACTTCTCCATAGCTGTATTTAGTGGGAAAATATGTTCCATTAACAGCACCACATGAGGATGCAAATTTTCTTCTTTTTTTTTTTTGCAGAATACAGTAACATCTACAGATGAAGAGTAAAAATGGGCATTACTCATAATAGATACAAAGTTAGTTTGAAGTTCAACTCTACTTTGAAATTATCTTAAACCAGCACCAGCTAGACTCCAGCTCTGCTGTACTGAGCCTCCATATCAATGTCAGTTTTATTTAAAAAAAAATAAATAATCCTATATCCCTAACTCTTTCTGCCATCTGGTCTGAAAGCAGCTTTGAGACTGGGTAAATTTTGGCTCAGATGTCACAGTACTGGATTGTATTTCTTTGCCCCATCAGCAGCAGGCCTGTTAACTAAACCTTCACAGCAAAATCAACCACATTTCCTTTGGCTATACTGACACAGCCTTCTTAACATAAGTAAAAAGTGTTGCCAATTTTTAATTTTTTTTTAAATTCTTTGGTTAGACAGAGATGGCTTAGTTCATTTGTGCAGGGAATCAAGATGGAAAGTTTGATGCTGCTGCTGATTAATCATTAATCTGATTATTGGAAAAGTAAAAAAGACAAACGGTATTTTCAGCAGTGTTGCTACTAGCTCTCAGTTTGTTCCCTTTATCTGTGTAGCCAAGGACCAGATGTCTTGGACGCTGACGGTATCACACTGTGTGGCAATAATTAGGCAGAGAGAGCTGACATCTGCTCTTAGTCCTCACTGTTCCTTTGTTTCTCCCTTCAGCCTTCCCACCCTCCTTCATTGCACATCCTGGGCTAAACCCCACCTGGAAGCCCTCTAATATAAGATCTACCTGCAAGCGGAGAAACTTACTGAGCCAGCATAATGAAGAAGTTCAAAGTGAGCTTCGTATTTCCTTTTCTTATCAGGCCTGGGCTTTTGGAAGTTAGGTGACTTGCCAAGATGATTGTCATAAAGTTTGGCTTTGAATGTCATATCTGTAGCTTTTGGGAACATACATTCTTCTTCAAGGATAGACAGGATTCCCAATGGCTGTTGATTTAAAAAAGATTATTGTTGGAAAATGCAAGAACTGTGCAGACTTTAAATTTGATCCAGTGGAACTTTAAGCCTGCAAAATTTCTTCTCATTCTGAGGAGGAAATGTTTCAGTTAAGATACTAATCACACTTTTGGCTTTCAGGAGGGTGTTTCTGCCTTTGAGTCTTTGTGATGACTTCCAGAAATGATTCAGTTTACATTTTAAGACAATTGGACCAA